CTTCCCCATATTTTCCCATATTTTCTGGGGAATCGCCGATTAATTGTGTCTGTGTTGTTTCTTTCCCTCCTGAGAGCCCAACGCTGCCGCTGGGCTGCCGATCTCCTGCAGCCGCTGCGGGCCCTCCGCAGGCCTGCGCCCGAACTGATGCGGGGTCTGTCTGTACTTCTCCAGCTCCGTCGACTCCGCGTCGATCACCGGGTGCTCTGCCGCCGTCGTGCGCGCGGCGATGCTTGCGCTACACCGTTCTGCCTCGCCACAGCGGGCCAGCTTCAGTGTCGACCTCGAGGGGGCCAAGAGGTCCTGGGCCCCTGCTGCCCCACGCCTTCTCCGCGCGGCCGCCGCGCAGAGCTCCGCGCCGTGCCCGCCTCTCCTTGCGAGGGTCGGGTGCTGCGTCGGCCCCTGGCGCCGGGGGCGCTGCTGCGCCCTGGGGTCCGCTCCCGCGCCTCCGCTCACGTCCGCGCGCGGCGGGGGCGGGCGGGCGAGGCGCTGCGTCGCGATTGGCGGCGCTCCCCTCGGCCTGGCGCCGCTGCCAGACCCCGCGGAGCCCGCCGAGGAGGCCCAGGGGGCGCGCCAGGCCGTCGACGCCCCTCGTCGCCGTCATGCCCGCTGCGGGCGGCGCGTTGCCCTCCGCCGCAGGCGTCGCGCGGCCAGTGATCTGGCTGTGCTCGCAGGTGGAGCCAACAGCGGTCTGGTGATAGTTCTGGTTGTCCGCGCTCTGAGAATTGATTCAACGAGATCAAACGAGATGTGAATGTTTCTCCACTGGACTCGGGTCTCTCCAGAACTACTGGAGAGCAGCAGTCAGACGCTATGCTAAGCTGCTGGGCCTGGGGCGCGGTAAGCGCCACCCTGATCCAAAATGCCTACTGTCGGGCATGCGCCGCTGCTGTTCCTGTCCGTCTGCCGGGCAACTGGTATGCAGCCCGTCGAAGAGCTGCTCGCACCGCTGTCGCGCCCTCCGCTGGGCGCGCGCACTTCAAACGAAGAACGGTTGGCCTTGGCGGCCGAAGGACCGCGAAAACATTGGCAGTTGGCGCCTCGGCACTGACGAGTGGCTTGAGCAGAGATCCCAACGGGAGCGGGGGGAGATGCGTATCTGTAGTCTGAGTTCGTACATTGTCGGGATCCTGACAAAAGAGCTGGCATGCGGTGCCCAGATCGTAATCTGTTCAGGGACATGTGATGCGCGTTGAAATTGCACACGGGCGCACATGATGCACGCGGCAAGGCATGCGTCGTCCAGCTGCCCATGCTCGTCGAAAACTTCGCACAGCCGAACATCATCGTGAAGAAGTCCACAGGGCCCTCGATCACCAGCATCATCACCGCCATGACCTGGTCGACCGCTATGCGAAGGCGCAGCACGATCAGGAGCCGGCGAAAGCCAAATGGGGACCTCACTGGTGCTCGTCCTCTCGTGCATGTGTCCGCGTCCCACAGCAACGCACTCGTCACACAGGCTCTGAATCAAATCGAACTGCGCCATCCAGATCTTGCGAACAATCTCGGGTGCATGGGAGCCATCGTGATTAAGAGACAGCTTTGTCTTGTCTTACCCCTGCCCTCCGCTGCAGCAGCTGTGAAGAAAATGTGGACAGCCGCACCGGCAACGACCTGCCTACGAACCCAGGCGACACGGGTGAGGACCACCATTGCAAACGCAAGTGCAGGTACAGCGAGAAGCACAGTGACTGGGTAGTTACTTGAGCCGAGAATGATGATGATGGTAAATACAAATAAAAATTATACACAAAAACATAAGAAACACATAATAATAGTAATAGTAATGATGATGATACTGGTGATCATGATGATGATGATGATGATGATGATGATGATGATGATGATGATGATGATGATGATGCGGATGAGGATGATGATATGATGATGGTGATGACGATGATAATGACGTTGATGAGTATGATAACGACGATGATGCTGGTGATAATGATTATCATGAGAATGCTGATGATGCGGATGATGGTGATGATGACGCCGCTATTGATGCTGATGCTGATGATGGTGATGATAATGATGATGACGATGATGTCGATGCTGATGACGATGATGATGGTGATGATGGTAGTAATGGTGATGGTGATGGTGATGGTGATGCTGATGATGCTTTTCATGATGAGGATCAGGATGGTGATACTGATGGTGATAGTGATGATAATGATGATGGTGATTATGGTGGTGATGAGGATGAAGATGATGTTGATGCTGCTGCTGATGATAATGTGTACGATGGTAATGATAATGCTACTGATGATGATAATGATACTGCTAATGATAATGATAATGATGATGGTAGTGTTAATGATGATGATGGTGATGATGATGCTGCTGATGATGATGAGGATGATGATGAGTATGATGATGGTGATGACGATGATAATGACGTTGATGAGTATGATAACGACGATGATGCTGGTGATAATGATTATCATGAGAATGCTGATGATGCGGATGATGGTGATGATGACGCCGCTATTGATGCTGATGCTGATGATGGTGATGATAATGATGATGACGATGATGTCGATGCTGATGACGATGATGATGGTGATGATGGTGGTAATGGTGATGGTGATGGTGATGGTGATGCTGATGATGCTTTTCATGATGAGGATCAGGATGGTGATACTGATGGTGATAGTGATGATAATGATGATGGTGATTATGGTGGTGATGAGGATGAAGATGATTTTGATGCTGCTGCTGATGATAATGTTTACGATGGTAATGATAATGCTACTGATGATGATAATTATACTGCTAATGATAATGATAATGATGATGGTAGTGTTAATGATGATGATGGTGATGATGATGCTGCTGATGATGATGAGGATGATGAGAATGATGAGGAGGCTTTGGACTCGAAGGTGCACCTCTCGTGCACATTGGGAACCCTGCAAGGGGCAACCCTCGGTCCCCCCGTCTTGGACGCCTCCCATATAGGGTACGACAGGAGGATCGCCCCGCCATTGCCGATGCATCGGCGATGCATCTGCGCTCCATCGGTGATGCATCGGCGACGCCGGCCAGCGATGCATCGGCGACGTCGGCGTGGACCAAATCGGGCTCCACATCGAGCCGTATCGGCGACGCGGCGCGATCCTCCGACCCAGTTTACTGGGACCCCGTTGGGGTGGCCTGGGATATTTCGTTTCTCAATTGCGACACACGGCCGAAAGACGGGCGGGTGGATGGGGCTGGGAAGTGAAGACGAGACATGGTGCGCCTTCGTTCTGTAGCAAATCATGGGAGCCTCCCGTGCAATCGTGCTGGAATCGGCGCTATCTCATCGACTACCAGACGCTGATCGACGCAATTGCACTCTAAAAACAGAACCCTACACATCCGGCCTCTCGACCCCTTCCCAGGGACTGGTTTTCCATCCCGAGGCATCATTTGACGGTCCCGAGGCCAGGTAGGGAGGGCCCCGAGAGGCCGACAAGTACGAAAACCTGCGCCTCGACTTTTTCGAGGCGCTGGACGCCTGGGAGTGCGAGAGTATACAGGGCCCGGAGGAGGAGGAGGAGGAGGAGGGGGAGGAGGAGGAGGGGAGGAGGAGGAGGAGAGGAGAGGAAGGCCCCCAGGATTGGCCACAAAACCTTTGCGGAGCGAGGCCGCGCGTGGCGAGGGCGCGCCGCGCGCACCACGGGGGAGGCTCCCCCCTCCTCCTCCTCCTCCTCCTCCTCCTCCCTCTCCTCCTCTCCTCCTCCTCCCTCCTCCTCCTCCTCCTCCTGCCTCCTCCTTCTCCTCCTCCTCCTCCTCCTCCTCCTCCTCCTGGCACAACGGTGCCGGGCCAGCGCCACCAGTGGCCGGCGGTGGCGCGCACCCTGCCAGGGGCAAGAGGCAAGAAAAAAGAAGAAGCCAGGACGAAGACAAATCCGGGCGAGGCTAAATCGAGAAGCCCATAGATCCGACGGTTCTGGAAGATGTCTCGGGCGCCGCGGCCTGCTCAGGGCGTGCCGGAATGCTCTGAGAGCGTTCTGCAACGCTCTGGAACGGACTTATCCTCGTCCTAGCCCCGTCCGAACCGAACCCTGCCAGAGGCAAGAGGCCAGAGGCAACTCCCAGTTCGCCCAGCCAGGCGGCCGCGCGCGCGGGGCTGGGAGGAGGGGGCGGCAGGGCTCTTCTTGCCTGGTCGCTGGCGCATCTCACGTCCGCCGCCGTGCTGTGAGGCGCGAGATGGAGGTGTCCTCGGGTCCTAGGCCTTGCCCCTGAAGCTGAGCCCTCAGTCCCGAGGCTTCTTCTCAAGGGGCCTGGACCCCGAACGCTTCCATCTCCCGGGGGCGCCTCGCGTGCCCCCTCGGCCCCGGCGCGCCTCGTCGCGTGACGTCCTCGGGCCCACGAGGGCCCTGAGACGGGCCACGGGCGACCCACGAGGCCCCGCAAGACGTTCCAAGAGGGCTCCGAATCGACGAACGATCGGTCCAAGACGCCAAAGATGGCCTGAAGACGGCTGAAGATGCGCCCAAGGCGCCCCAAGAGGGGCCGCAGAGGCCTCCCAAGAGGGCCCAAAGAGGCAAACATCGCCGAACTCCATCGGAGAACGTACATTTGTAGCTATACGATTTTTCGGCCTCTTGGTGTCCAAGACGACCCAAGAGGCCCCCAAAATCGCCCCTTCACGGCCCAACATGCCCCCACGAGGCCCCCGAGACGGCCCAAGAGGCGCCCCAGACAGCCCCGGAGAGCCCCACGACGGCCCCAAGTGGGACCCAAGAGGGGGAGCCCGAATCGACATGTCGAGCTCTCCGCCCCAAGGTGCCCCCAGGAGGCCCCAAGAGGCCCCCAGGAGTCCCCAAGAGTGAGGCCCCCAAGACGCCCCAAAGCGGTCCCAACACGGCCCCCAAGAGGCCTCAAACTGTCTCCAAGAGGCCCCCGAGAGGCCTCCCATGATGCCAAAGAACATCGAAGAAACCTATGACCCACAAACCAGGCACAGTGGCAGGATGGGCCGAAGGCCACTCGATACCTGTCCTTCACCACTCTGACGGGTGCTCTGCAACAGGTGTCCAATTGGTCCCCCCTCGCTCGAGGAGTAGCGTGAGCCGCTTCGACCTCGTCGTGCAGAATCGCACCAAATCTGCGTCCGAACTGCACCGCCTCGAGGCGGATGCGGCTCCTTCCGACGCCGGAAAATTCTCGCGGGAGGAAGAGGAGGAATCAGGAGGGAGTGAACACCTATGTTTCTGTCTCTCTCGCTCTCTCTCTCTCTCTTGTTATTTCTGTCTCTCTCTCTCTCTCTGTTTTTTTTTGTTCTCTCTGTCTCTCTCTCTCTCTCCCTCTCGTTGGTTTTCCCTCCCCCTCTCACTCTCACTCGCATCCCATTCCTGTATCGCTCCTTTTCTGTCCCGCCCGTACACGTCTGTCCATTGCCTTTCGTCCCTCAGTCGGGCAGGGGGACAAACACACACAGACAAGGAGGGAGAGAGATTTGAAGAGATAGAGACGGAGAAGGAGAGCGAGAGCGGAAGAGCGAGAAGGAAGACGAGAGGAGGAAAAGGGAGAGGGGGAAAAGGGGGGGAGGTGATTGAGACATATAGCTTGGAGGTAAGCAATGAGGAAGCCTCTTTGAGGCCGCCCCCACACGGAAATCGTAGCCCGTGCTCGTGTCACACGTGAAGTCCGCGTGAAGCGTTTTCGGTAGAGAACAGAAAGGAAGATCGAGAGGGAGGAAAGAGAGGACGACGAAGGGGATGAGGAGAAGGACAATGGCATGGTGCGAAGGTGGCCCAACTGGCCACTGCTATCCGCCACCGTGCCGCAAGGCACTGAGTTGAGTGTCCTCAGTCCGTTCTGGGCTCATTGCGTTGGGTCTTGGAAGTGCTCTGAAGGGCCCAGGGCTCCGGTTCCCAGGCACTCACTCGCCTTCCCGCGGCTTGTCGCGTGACTCTTCTGGAGGCCTCGGGAGCTTGGGTGGGGGTGTCAACATCCCACGTGTCTTGACATCGCCGCAAGAAAGCTGTGTTGGGGGCGTCTTCTTGGGGCCTCTCTTGGGCCGTCTTGGAGTCCCCGAGGCCCCCTGGGAAAGCTGTATGATGTCGTACAGTCAGCCCGTATCATCAGGATGCGCAGTAAGGAGGCACGGCCCTTGGAGGCCCACATTAATCTTTTTCGAGCGAGGCTGGCCAGCGAAAGTCGCTGACGAAGGGCCGAAGGGGCAAGGACGCAAGGGTACCCTTGAGAAGGTAGCCCGTCCTTACTACGCGGGATGACTGTACGTCTTGGTCTTTCGGTATCAGGGGCGTCCAAGACGGCCCAAGAGGCCCCCAGAGCGCCCAGAACCCCGGGGGCTACCAAGAGGGGCCCAAGAGGGGTCCAAGAGGCCGCCGAGCTGGCCCCACAAGGGGGGACACGAACTGACATGTGGAGGCATTCGCTCCAAGATGATCACCGAGACTGCCAGCAGCCCCCCCAAACGCCTCCACGAGAGCCCGAAAGGCTCCCAAGAGGTCCGCAGGAGGCCCCCGAAGGCCTCCAAGAGGCCCCCGAGAAGCCCCAAGGAGGCCTCCAACAGACCTCCCAGAAGACTCCCAAGGGACCCAAGGAGGCCTCCCAGGGGCCTCTCTAGGACTGGCGGCATGGGCCGAAGGCCGCTAGATCCGCCGCGCCCTGGGTGCACGGCGTGCTGGATTCCAGGCTGGTGTCACACCTTCTCTGAAAGGGAGTCCCACCTGCCTCCTGCCCAGCCCGTCGGCCACCCGGAGAGGCCCGAGAAATATGCCTCGCACTGCCCAAACCACCCTCCTCGAAGACTGGCAGGATGGCCCCTCGCTGGCCTCCAAGAGGCCTCCAAGACGGTCCCAAGATGGCATCCAAGACGCCTCCGAGACGGTCAAGATGGCCCCAATACGGCCCAATATGCCCTCCAGACGGCCCAAGAGGCCCACAAGTCACACCAAGAGGGCTTCAGGTTCTCCCAGGACTGCCCCAAGACGGCCCAATAGACTTCCAACACGGCCCTAAAGCGCCGAAAGAGGGACCCACGACTACCCGGAGAGCGCCCCAAGACTGACTCCGAAGGACAAGAGGGGCCTTACGTAGATGCCCCCAAAATGGACCCAAGAGGCCCCAGGAGGCCCCAAGGTGGCTCCCAGGAAGCCCCCAGGAGGCCCCAATGGCGTCAATAGGCCTTCTTTTCTTCTTCCTCCTCCTCCTCCTACTCCTCCTCCTCCTCCTCACCCTCCTCCTCATCCTCATCCTCATCCTCATCCTCTTCCTCCTCCTCCTCATCATCACCACCATCCTCCTCCTCCTCATCATCATCATCATCAGCAGCAGCAGCATCATCATCAGCACCACCATCATCATCATCATCATCATCATCATCAGCAGCAGCAGCAGCATCATCCTCATCCTCATCATCACCATCAGCATCAGTATCATCATCCTCGTCGTCATCGCAATCGTCATCGTCACCATCAGCATCATCATCAGCATCATCATCACCGTCGTCATCATCAACAACATCAACATCAACATCAGCATCAGCATCATCAGCATCGCCATCATCAGCATCGCCATCACCACCATCACCACCATCATCATCATCATCATCATCATCATCATCATCATCATCATCATCATCATCATCATCACCATCACCATTATCATCCTCATCCACATCCACATCCTCAACCGCACCCTCATCCTCATTCTCATCATCCTCATCCTCCTCGTCGTCGTCCTCCTGCTCATCCCTCCCTTCCTCTTTCCTATTCCTCTCCCCAGTGCTCCCCGAGGGGTTCCACAACAGCTGAGGGAACCTATGGCCCAAGAGCTTGGCCAGACCGCGGCCCCACTTTTGGCCGCATGGGCGCTTCCACAACGCAGGGGGTGGCGGTGACTTGCCGTAGGCGCCGTCGATCCGCCGCACCCTCCTGCTTGAAAGAGGGGCGCACGCTATGCCGAATGATGACCGGTCGAACCCTTCCATGAAGATTCCGATGGTGCTTCGGCCGATATTACGGCCGGCCACGGGCGGGGTGCACCCCATCGGCTCTCGAGCCCAAGATGCTCCAAAAACACCATCCCAGACTGCCAGGACGGCTCAAGATGGCCTCTAAGACGCTCCCACGATGCCACCAAGACGGCCCCAAGAGGGCCCAAGATGCCGCCAAGACGGCCCAAGATGACTCCGAGATGGCCCAAGATGTCCCCCAGGCGGCCCAAGAGGCTCCCAAGACGCCCACGAGAGCTCCAAGACGTTCCCAGCGTGGCACAATTCTGATGTTTCACACGTTGTCAAACGTTTTGCGGTCTCGCTTTTCGGGCTTCCAGCAGCCGAGGACGGACCCAGAGGCCTCCAAGGCAGCCCAAGGACGGCCCAAGAGGCCCCAAAGTCTGCCTCACAGACCTCCAAGACGGCCCTGAAGCGCCCAACGAGGGCCCCACGACGGCCTAGAGAGGCCCCCAAGACGGCCTCCGAAGGCCAAGAGGCCCCTACGAGGTCTCCAAGATAGAACAAAGAGGGCTTTACCACAGAGGCCCCCAACAAGCTCCCGGGAAGCCCCCAGGAGAACCACGGGCCTCCAAGAGACCTCTTCCTCTTCCTCCTCCTCCTCCTCCTCCTTCTCCTCCTCTTCCTCCGTCTCATCCGTCTCCTCGTCCTCTTCCTTTCTCAAATGCTCCTCCACAACGGCCAAGGGAATACATAGTCCAACATCATCGCCGAGCTTTGACTTAGCGCTGAACGTTTGGACACACGGGCATCATTTCCAGAAAGGCAGGGTCGGCGGTGATTCACCGTTTGCGTCTAAGGTGCCCACAGGCTGCCCGTTGCCGATCACACGGTAGCCCTCCACTAGCACCATCGCCGCATGCGCGCACATGACCTGCGCAAGAATATTATCGGGCACGTGCCCCACGCCCAACAGCGCGTGAAACGTGCATCGGCCGATGTTAGGCAGAATTCGGAGTTCTCAGTGCCACCTCTCGCGCGTCATCTTTTGAGGCGCAGCCCTTTGCCGTGAAGTCCCTCGCAATCTCAACGACGGCTGCAACGGCACCGAGCAGTATGGTGCCAGACACCATCAAACAAGCCCAAGCATCGGTCCTCACGCTGTCAAAACCAAAACAAATCCGCCACCTCGCTAGCAGCGTGCTTCCAACCCCTGTGATACTACGGCACTTGCAAACTTTGTAACAATCGCTATTCCGTGAGAGCCCCTGAAGGCCCTCCACCCCCAGGACAAGAGCTGCGAGCTACGGCAGGTCGTCGCCTCTGGTTACTGACACCGCGCGAGCCGTTCCGCCTTGGAGGACTCACGCGCTCGGAGATCCAAGGAAGCTGCCGGCCCCATCTGTCGAGTGGATGCCTTTCGCGCAACGGCTCAACTTATGTAGGCCCCAGGGGCCCGAAACGAGCCCCCTAATAATAATAATAATAATAATAATCAGCATTGAACGCCCGCGCAGGCATCGCCGCCGCAGCGAGGACGGCGCGAACCAGCCACAGTAGCTCTAGCTGCTAGCTCCAGGCCTCGGCCGTTTCGCTTCGACGGCAGAGTCTGCCGCGGCGCTCTGCAGCGGCTGGTGTCTGTCGGGCCGCCACCTGGCCAAGAACGAGCCGAACACTTCGACCGCCCCCCCCCCTACCGACACCACGGCATGGCACTGAAGCCCGACGACGCTGTACGGCACCGCCGATACAGTCGGGGCGTTGACCTAAGGAACCCGAAATAAGGAACGAGGCCCCTTTTCTTCATAAGTTAACCTTCGACTTCACATCGAAACCTTAAGGAAACCTTGGGCAAGGTGTGGAACAATCAAGGAACACCGAGCCCCTCCCCAACTAAAAGGGTCCCTTCTTCAGCGCCCCGACTGTAGGACCCAGGAGGGCCGACCACCTACTCGCCCGCAGGCCCCCACTGGCAGCCCGAACCACCGAGCACCCGCGCGACTTCCCCGACGGCCTGTGGTGCTCGGGCGGAAGGCCCCCAGGCACTCCAGGAGTGCCCCCTAAGACGCAGCGCAGCAACTCGGGGATCTTCTGACCCGGGTCAATCCAGACCAGGGTCAGCAGGAAACCAAAAACTGCAATGCAGGAAAAAAATGCAACGCAGGTCCTCGCAAACCCGGGTCAGCCAATACGCGCGGCCGCCTCGCGGCCACGAGCGGCTCCCTAACCCGGGTCAGCCAGGGGGGGCCTTCGCAGGATCCTGCAGGACCGGTGCCCTGGCTGACCCCCGTTTGCACTGACCCCCGTCTCTCAGGCCCCGAGCAACCATGCAGCACTACGCTCCGGGGAAGAATTCGACGCATGCGTCTACGATTCGACGAAAGAAGTAATCCTGGGGTGACTCGATTCTGTAGTCGATCTCCCACTCGAACGCTACGGCCGTGCCACGTTCCGGCGTTGTCATGCGCGCGCGCCCCCAGAGGTTGCGGATACAGGCGGCAGCGCAACCCGATAATGAGCACCGACTCGATGAGCGTGGTGACCGACCTCGCGAAATCGGCGCCCACGTGCAGCAGGGCCGACATCATGTTGGACTGGGCGCTGCCCACGTCCGCGCTGCTCAGGAACGCCCGCAGCGCGAAACAGTCGAAGACGATGCCCCAGATCGCAAAGGCCATCACTATCCAGGGGTTCACCGGCTCCTCCAGTCGGGCCAGGCGAAAGGGAGGGATAGCAAAGGGGGGGTTTGAGAATCAGCTCTTGTAGCTGATTTTCCCGGCGCCTCCCGGCGCCGGAGGCGGCCATGTATCGAGGAATGGGCCCCTCGGTGGGGCCAAAACCAGCTGCATGCAGCCGATTTCGTACCCCCCCCTTTCCCTGCCCCCCCCTTTCTTTCGTTCGGCCCGATCCAGAGGAGGCGCAAGAGCGCGGCACAAACATGGACTGTCGGAGGTCCGTGTGGCTTCGTTCGGATCGCCGCTGGAGCACCCTCCGTGGCGCGAGGAGCTCGCCGGGGGGCGGCGCCGGAGGAACCGCCAGGGGGTCCAACGCTGATCCAAGACATCCGCGCGGAGCTCCGAAAGTTTCCCAGACAGTGCTTGCTCTTTGGGCCATTTGCTCGTGTCGCCAAGGAACATGATGTGTCTAGCGGCCAGCGAGATTTCGCCACGCTGCCGCCCGTGATCGCCTCGTGGCCGCCTCGTGCGCTGGGTGGGTCCAGCGAGGTTTGGGCACGTTGCCGACGCTTGCCACGCTGGGTGGTTCCAGCGAGGTTTCGCCACGATGCCGCCCGGCCCGTGGCTGCCTCGTGGCCGCCCCCTGCGCTGGGTGGCCACGGCGAGGTTTCGCCACGTTGCCGCCACGTGCCGCCTGGCCGCCTCGTGCGCTGGGTGGGCTCGACAATGTTACGCCACGTTGCCGCCCGTTGCCGCCTCGTTTCCGCCTTTAGCTTGCACCACGTAGACTGCAACACATAGCTTACGCCACAGAACTAGCACCACATAGCTTACACATCTATACTGGAAATAGATAGATTACTGTTTGGGGTCCACGCTGGCTGACATCTATAAAGTGTTCATTCATGTGTTGTTCCTCGATCCTCGTTCTCCGCGTCCGCCCGCAGAGTGTCGAGCGCCCCCAGGGCTCCACGCACGGTAAAGTACACGAGGATGAGCACGGAGACCGCGGGGCATATCAGCTCCAACTGGCGGTGGAACGGCTTCCCCTCCCGGAGCTCCACTCCGATGTTCATGAAATAGCTGAGGGCGTCGGCACCCATGGACACGCAGTCCTCCATCAGGGCATCTGAGTGGGCTATCGTAGGGCGGCGAGATCTGCATAGACGTGTTCACGGCCCCAGGCCTGGCCCATCCCGGGACCAAGAGCGGAGTACATGCCTCAATGGCCATGCCAGGAGGGCGTACACACCGCTGCGGGGCCCGTGGTGGGCCAGGCCCGGGGCCGAGGAGATGTATAGACCTCGTCGCCCCACATCGTCGCGGCGACGGCCTGCGCGACCGTGACGGCTTGAGGAAGCAACGAACTGCATACTCAAGCACACGCTACTGGACCTCCGCGCGGACTTCTCGGATCGGCGCCGGACACCTCCAAGGGGCGCCTGGGGCGCCGCTCCTGGCGCGTTCCACGCGCCACGGAGTAAGGGGTCCGACGCCGACCAGAGGAACGTCCGCGCGGACCTCCGACGGTTCGTGCCTGTGCCGCTCGCTCTTCCCCGAATGGTGGTGAACAGCACGGCGCTGAAGAGAAGCACGCGTATGTTCCCCGAGACCAGTGCGAAGGCGTCGGCGTCGGCGGGGGTCTCAGTGACGAGCCGCGGTCGGATGGCCCTCCCTACAGGGCCCAATGGCAGCCCAGGGAAGTCAGCGAGGCCAGCCCTCCGTTGCTCCGTTAAAGCGGGGGCAGCGCAACAGCCAGAGGTGGCAAATGAATTACCTGGGGGCCCCAAAAAGGTGCGGTGACCACACCGAATGGTGAGTCCGTGGAGGCTCGTGGTGACCGCTCGGTTTTGGACATTGGGTCGTTCTCGTAGGGTGGCTGGGGCGACCGGGGCCGCCAAGGTCCCAAGACCATTCGGCGACGGACCGTGCAATGCCCCCCCCTTCCCCCTCGAAACCCCGGAAGAGGAGATGAGGAGAAGGATCGAATTACAGGCACGGAACAAACGACAGAAACTCTCGAGGGCCCGCGCGGAGCTCTTTGGGGTCGGCGTCGGACGTTTCCATCCCCTCGCACCGCGCCCCTTGCCAGCGCGCGGAGCCTCCCGCGCCCGAGGGGTGCGTGGGGGCAGCGCCGCCCAGCACATCCGCGCAGGTCTGTCGGAGTTTGTGGCGCGTGCCGCTTGCCGCCCTTGTGCGCAGGCAGCTCGAGGGCTCCCGGGATGGCCAGCTGACCGCGGCGGATGAATGACCGCGAAATCCCCTCCGCGCCCGACTGCCTCACCGCGCCGATCGTCCCGTGGAACGTCGACGGCCTGGGCTGACTCGCGGCGGGGTCCTCGACGTCGAGATGGTGGGGGCCGCCACGGCCACGGGGACGGTGGGGATCGGCCCTCCCGTCCTCACGCCCACACCTGCCCACCCGACCCCTCCCCAGCACCTGTCTCCCCCTTCCCTCCTCCTCCTCCCTCCGCCCACGCCTGCTTAACTACCCCTTGTTTTTTTTTTCTCTCTCTCTCTCTCTCTCTCTCCCTCTCTCTCTCTTTTCCTATGTCCTCTCCCCATCATCCTGGCATCTCCTTACCCTCCTCCTGCTCCTGCCACTGCCCCTCTCCAACAGTTTATTCCTCCTCCGCGTCGTCCTCGTCCTCTTTTTCCTCCTTCTGCTCCTCCTCCTCCTCTTCCTTCTCTGCACCAGTTTTTCCTCCCCCACTGCACCCTTCCTATTTTCTCTCTCCATCACCATCCTCGACCCTTTCCACGCGTTCCCCCTTGTTCCACCATCTCAATCCCCCCCTAGCCCCCCCCCGCGCCATTTCTCATACCACCAGCTGTTCCTCATCCCAGACATGTCGGCGGGGCGGGCCGTTTCCTCACCACTCATGGTCCTGAGGCCTGAAGCTTGTGACGGCTTCACTGGTGAAGGGCGGGTGCTTTTCAGAATGGAGCTTTCGCTGTCGCACCCCGCACACTCGTTGTAATAATTTGCCGTCGTTTGCTCGGGGTCCATTCCTGGCCACCAGGCTCCCGGACTCTTGCCTCCAGGGGTGGAGACTGGAACGGAGGAGGAGCTTACGAAGGAAGTCAGGTTGCGGAAGGGTCCTCTATTGCAAGCGCCAGAGTCGTGCGTGAGCGCGCAGTGATCACGGCGACGACGCTTGAGCAAGCTACGCTAGCTCCCATTCGCTCAGGCCGGGCGTAGTCTCGTCTTGGCCCGACGGGGGCTGGTGGCCCGTCGGCATAGTCGTGTTCGGCGGCGTGGTCGTGTTAGCCGCCGTGGTCTGGAAAAGCCAAAAGTCGATTTCCTCGATCTCCGCCTGGGTCATCGCCCAGCCCAGAGGCTCGTAGCCAATGCCTTCGATCGGGTAGTCCTCGTCCGTCTGGAACGGGAATGGCATGGTCGTAGCAGTCGCGCAGGGCTCTGGTCCGGGTTCTAAAGAGAAGCACGGCTGAGCTGGAGCGCCGCTCCTGGAGGTTCCGCTGCTCCCCGACGTTCTTCCGACTGGCAATTCTATGAAAGCCCGCGGGGCTGGCCACGTTCGCCGCTGCCGTGATCGTCGTCAGGGTGGCCCTGATCTGCGCTGTCATCATCGCCAGCTGTCCCATCGCATGCTCCGCATGGTCGCGGGTCTCGACGCGCTGCTGATAGTCTCGCGGATGTCGCTCAAGGAGCCGCCCATCGGCTCCAGGCTCTCAAGGGTGCGCCGGATCCGCCTGGCACCCTGCTGCAGTGGAAAAAAACCCTTCTTCAACTTGTCTGCACTGGTGGTTCTGCTAATTCATAGCGCACTGTGACACCTGCCCGATGACCTCTCGCACACGCCCCAGCGATTGAAGATGATCCGGCACGTGCAGCTGCCATTACAACGACTGCATGTGGGAGTTCAGATCGCTCACCATTCGCAGCGATGCGGCGCCTGCGGGCTGCCCTGCAAGAACTCCTCTGCCTGCTGAACTGACATAGCCGCCCTCTCAGCCGCCTCGGCCGCCGAAGCTTGCCCGTCTCCCAGTCGAGTGACGCCCGACGGGCGGGGTATATAGCTAACGACCCTGGTCCCGCGGAGCCAGCCCTTGGACCCGCCGCTTGCCTTAGTGCGCAAGCTCCTTGGGTCGGGCGTGGACAATCAGGCGGCAGTTTGGGCGGTGGCTTCTTTGGCCAAGGGCCAGTCTGGCGAGGCCCCGCCGTCGCCGCCGAAGATGCTGCCGACGCCGCCTCGAGAGTCGGCTGGCTCGCGAGAAGTGGGGGCGCCGGTCCCGGCCGTGTCGACGCAGCTGCTGCAGTCGCCGTTGCCGCCAGCATTGCTGCTGCCGTTGCCGCTGCCACGGCCTGCGCCCGAACGCCCCATCCCGGCGGGGTCGCCCGACGCTCTGGGCCCCAGGGAGGCGCCTGAACCAGGCTCGACCCCTGTGGCGGATCGTCCTCTGCCATCGCCGCTCCGTCGTCGCCCTCGGCGCCAGCAAACTCGACGGTGGCCTTCCGAGCGGCGGGGCCCTCCTCGAGCCCTGCCGCGGACGGCGCCGCCGCGGCCCGCGGTGCCCCGATCGCCGCCGGCATCGCGCGCCGACGCCCGACGGCGGCGGCGGAGGCCGCTCGCCACGAAGAGCAATCTGGGAAGATCGGCTGGGAGCGCTCGACTGAGGCCCGGGCCAAAACAGGCCGCGGAGACACATGCGACCCAGAAGACGCGCCTCGCATGAAGGGCCGGACCTGAGCAAGGAGGGCAGCCGCGGTGATCCGGCGCCTCTGATTGCCCGATCTCCGTGCCCAGGATGCGCCGCCCTAGCTCTCTCGTCGGACCCCGAGCCCGAGACGTGGTCGAGGCGGGTCCGCTAAGGCCGCGACGAAGAAAATATGCGGGCACGCTGCTGGCCCCGACCCTGCACGAGACCGACCAGGCCGCAATCCCAAGTGTTGCTAGCCGACCGCGATGATTCCCTGGATTTGATTATCCGACTTCCGTCGGCGACGAGCCTGATCTGGAAGAGGAAAAGCAGGAAGCAGGGAGAGGCTGACGCACTGCCGAACAGCGCTGTCTCCCAGCATCTTGAACGACGCCGAACGCCCCAAGCAAGAAACTTCGCTGACCGGACAGAGTCGCGACGGAAGGCGTTCCGGGGGTCTCTCAGAAGACCCCGCGCGAGGCTGCAAAATGTCTACCATTCTATGTCATGGCAAGGGTATGCTGCAGCGGTTCGGACCCCATCATATTTCGAGGCTCGCGCAAGAAAGTCCAGGAGGTTCACGCTCAAACAGCGAGGAACGCTGGTTTGCCCGAGCTACGGCACCAATGATGCAAAACACGCTCCCGAGACAGAAGGGACAAAGATGGCGCTCGCGATCTCGGCTGGTCTGCCCACTCCATGGGCCGATTTGACGGAGCGATAATCCTGAGACACCGCCACGCAGGTCACCCCGCTGACTGCATCAGACATGCACTCCTCCACTGCCCCGCGCCAGGTGGCACAAATCACCTGTTCGGCGACCGCCTCGGCGCCGAACGCGCAACCGTCGAACTCGCGGGCCAACGCGCCCTCGCGGTCGCCGGGGCTCGGCCTGTCCGAACAGCTCTCACTTCCAATCACTCTTCGGCTTTCAGGAGGTGTCTCCTCCGCCGGGCCTTCTGCGATGTCCGAGTCTTCGAGCGCGGCGAGGAGATTGGCAACGCCCCGGTCGTCATCCTCGTCCTCGTCCTCGCCGTCAGAGTAGTCCCCCTCTTGGTCACAGCAGTCGAACTCGTCATCACCGTCTGACCGAGCATGAGGAAGGACGAGGGGCCCTGGGCCCCACGTCACAGCATCCCATCCAGACCGCAGTCCTCTGTAGATGGCAGGGCTGCCAGGGCCCCCGCCCCAGGGGACCCGGGCAAAGCCTCTGCGTTCCGGTCGAACCCATCTGCCGGAGAGCCCAAGCGACACTGTGAAGTCGAGCCTGCCCTGGGTGGGGGTCCTGAGGTTCTGGCTGCCCTGGGCCGTCAGCCCGGCGCCTTCCTTGAGGAACAAGCCTTGAAATTTCGGCGACATCCAGAGCTCGCGGCCCTCCGCATCGAGGAGCCGGGCCTCGCACCTAGTTGCGGATTGGGTGAGATTATCCTTGCTCTCGCGGGTCACCTCGAACAGAGCG